GGCGGGGGTATGCGCTCTACTGAGTGCTCCTCTAGTTTTATATCTTGTAGTTTTGTCACTAGGTGTTGTAACAAAAGAATCTGACATTTATTAAAGTCCAGTCACTAATCCTCATAGTATGACAACCATTTAGTGCTATCACTGTTTCTTGTAGCAGGACAATTACACATTTGTTCTTAGTCCCCTGTTATTGTTGCCTACCTGTTAATTCTAAAGGGTCTTCATTTATTTTATGCACAGATATTTTGTCAATATGGTTTATTGTATTGAAATCAATATGCTATTAATGTGTCAAACTTCTTATTTATTTTTTTAATTGCAATGATATTAACCGATATTCGTTTGTTAAAATATTATTACATATTCTTCTTTGCTTTTACTCGTATGCTCTTAGAACTTCTTTCGTGTTATAGTTAAATATCAAATACAAATTAGTACTGCTATTTGTTCTTGTAGTAGAACAGTCTTATAGCTGGTTATCATATAAGACGATAGTCCTGTGTTACCATCTTTATATGACAGAGTTGTATAGTGTCTGTTTGTATAAAATGAAAGTATTGTTTTCGTAACAATAAAGTTTGACTTCTTCATTACAGTAAAGATCCATCTAAGACTACTGTAGCTTTATATCTTCATAACAGTAAAGTACCTCGTTAGCCTTTACATCTTCTTAGCAGTAAAGTTCTTTGTAAGCCTAAAGGTAGAGTTCCATGTGATTCTAACGGAGAGTTTTACATCTTCATAACAGTAAAGTTCCATGTAATCTTGTCAGCGGTAAGTTTGCGGACTTACAACGTTAAGACCTGGGTTCGATTCCCCGCAGTAGACAGAGTGTAGATAGCTCGTTATAAAGCTTTGCACTAGGAATACAACAACCGTTTAATCCTAATGGTGGCGATTTTACATTTTCACAACACTAACATTCTATCCCTTTATACCAGTTTCACTTCATCTCGTGGTAATTGAAAACATCCTTGTTTTATTCACCCAAAGAAGCCTGTTCCATCTCTTCGTAATATATTAATCCCATGTCTTCGGTCGTCAGAGTGGTTGTGATATGTTATCTTTTAAATCATATCACAGCCAGCTTTGATGAGCGGAGATGCAGGTTTCAAGCACATTTTATTAATATCACCAATTCCACATCAACATGGGTACTCACGTTACAAAAAATGTTTGATATTCTCATGTTTATATTTCAGTTTACAGTAGTTTGCTTTATCAGAGATGAATATTTTAAATTCGTATTTGTTCAATTATAGTTCTTCATCAGAAACCTCGTTAAAAACAAATATTTTCTGGTAACTTGCAGAAATGATTTAAGCATGACTAAATGTACCACAGATACAGCTAAAATGTTTGTGCTTTATATAAGTCAAATTACAGGACACTTATTGTACGTGAAAACGAGAATTGAAAATGTTCTAGATTTACGAAAACAGTTTCGAAACGTTGTAGAATGAAAGCGTAAACACTTTCAAGAAAATAGACTAGAAACGATTAAATGCAGTACATACTATTTCGTGTGATTTCAAAGAGACATCTCGTTATCGCTTTTATACTTTCTTTCAAATAAATAAGACCACATATAGTAGTATTGACAAATATTTTGGTGTTGATTGAAAATCCCACATCAAATGCAACAGTACAATATTTATGTGTATCTCCACGTGTAACACCACCTTAAGACTGTATAAGGGATAGTAAAATATCATTTAATACTTGCATTATTTATCAAGTTATGGAATTGTACTTGTGTATATAATAAAATATTGTTACGTGAGTGTCCATTTTATTGGAGGCTAGTGTATAATAACAATAGAAGCTTCATTCCTAAAGTGTTTTTTTATTCTTAATTAATGTTTATAAGATAAAGTTTTTTGTTTTGTTTTTCTTAATTAATGTTCATAAGATGCGCAGTGCGGGAAAGTAACCTTTTTAAATGCTGCCTGGACACAGCCATTGAAAGCTTTAAACTCCAGAAGAGATGAACACATTTTTGGCTGGCAAAAATTATTATCTCCCTCCCATTGCTATTGTCAATATATTACTAAGTTTTCTCTCTTCAAATATATGAACACATCCAACATTATCACGGCCATCTTTATGTCTGGAGGTTTTCGTACGTTGAGTAAAAGTCGCCACACAGCTGAAACCTAGAGCTTAGAAGGCTACTTAAATGTAAATGGTTCTACATTTGGAGGTAAGCGGCCGTGAGCAGCATAGATATTAAAATGAGGATACGTTGTGATTTATTTTATAAGCTTAAATATAATAGCAGTGTTTCTAAATGTAAAACATTATAACGCTTAGATCTCAAACTTTCAAGTCACGATTAATGTTGTTAAAAGATCTGCATTTAAGCCTTCTGTCCTTATTGGCATTAGAACACCTGCGTTGTTTTATTGCTAGAGCCTAGGTCTTGGCCTAGATATATATATATATATATATATAAGATCATTAAATATTTATATGTGTGTGCATGTAGAGATTTGGATATATTAGAAAGCAACGTGCATAAAATGCACACGTTAGATGTCTTTGCATTTTTGTCCTCTCTCTCTTATTTTTAGTATAACTTACGCCTACGCTCATACACATAGGTATGTGAGTAAACAGAAAGACAGCGAGAGAATTTTGCTCTAGAACCTCCCAGTCTAATAATATATATATATATCCACGTCAATGTACCTTGCGTATTAGGCAAGTGTCAAGGATTTCTCGGAGACCCTTGGAACCAAGAGATTTGTTGCTATGGTTACCAAACTTAAAAGTGCGTTTAAAGCTGGGTGTATTTAGTTCAGAGTAACTCTCCATTTCGATTCTTGGCTTTGTTACCAAGAGGACTGCAGAAGCCACAAGACAGGATCTGTCGATAGACAGACAGATAGATATTCACTGATGTTATAACAACTAGCGATTTGATCTTCTGTTTTAGAAAGTGATAAAAGAAAAGCTTTGACTGCAGTCTGTAGAGTTCAGTTTAGTATGTACAGATTTTGCTATTTCTGGCAGGTGTTTTTTTTGTTTTTTTATTTCAGATAATTCTTACACATATTATACATTTAAACCAGTGGTGGGATTCAAATATTTTAACAACAGATTCTCTCACTAGCAGCATGTAAAAATATTAGAAATTAAAAAAAGGAGGGGCCAAAAAGCCCCCCCCCCCATCACTGAGAAAATAAAAATAGGCCGTCACGGATAGTGTTAATAATTCTTTAGAAACTTTCAATTAAAAAAGTGTTTTATAATCTTTCAACTTAACAAAATTCAAATCTTTATTAATTTCTTCCATATGTAATACGTTAATAAATATATTTCAAAAAAAGTAAAGTAGAAAAAACAAAAAAGTAAATAAAATGGATAGTAACAGGTGAAAAACAAAGAAATGAATTATTAGAGAAAGGGGTCCTGTTATATTTGGAGCGAAAACACAAAAATTTATATTTCTTAAAAATTTAAAAATGTATTAAACTGATGAATAGATGATGGATCTATCATCTAACAAATTTTATACATTATTGGGGAAAAATATTTTCTAATGCAATTTCGTGCTTGCCAATTAGTAGCATAACATTTCAATTTTCATAGCTGTATAAGGTATATTAATTATATAGATCTAGGGGCCTTAGGTATAATAATAATAGATTAACGTAATTATTTAGAT